TCTGAATTCTAGATACTTAATTTCAAGTCAATGAACTGAAACCTACAAAGGAGAAAAAAATTAGTACTAGCAGAAAAAATTCACCAAATAAACAGCAATGCTATGATATATTAAAAAGAATTAAAGTAAAAAAAACTTATTTATGCATATGTTAATTTGTGCAACCTGGCTATTAATATTTTTTAAAAAATATTAATCTGCATGATTTTTAACAAAATTTATTATATTAATTTATACAAATCACTCTTCAGTTCTCAGGTTTACTAATTTCTTCCCACACTTTACTATCAGAGTACCATAAAATTAATTAATAATATTGATATTTCGATATATAAATAATTAGTAGAACCAATCAGAAGTGTGAAGAGAAATTAGTAAACTCTCAGTTCTCATGATACCAGAAAAAAAATACTAGCTAGATTAATTAATAAATGAAAATAAAGTAAATAAGATCTAATCTAAATTTTTATTATATATTATATATTAATTAATCAATTCTGTGAAATTAGACCCATTTAGCTATATAAAAATTTTTTATAGTGCTAGCTAGCTAAATTAAATATTAACAATTAAATAGGTAACTAGTAAGTATTTAAATAGTTTTAAACAGTTTTAAAATAAAATAGTTTATAAGTATAGGGAATCAATTTATATATTTACTTATATCTATATCTATTTCATAGGCACTAGAAAAAAAAATAATAGCTAGTTATTTTTTAAAATATTTTATATTTACTATTTAATAGTACTAGCCTATCTTACAAATTTAACTCTTATAAATACTATACTTTTTTAAACTATTTTATAACACTTCTATAAATATATATGTTGTAGGATAGAAAACTGGCTTTGTTAACTATACTACTTAATTTAATATAAAAAGGGTAAGAATATATATATATACAAAAAAAAAAAACTCAAAAAAAACTCAAAAAAAATAAACTTAAAATAACTCAAAATATAGAATATAAATTATAAGAAATTAAAAAAAAATTCTAAGAAAAATACAATAAAAATAATAAAAAATAGATATATATGATATATAGTAGATATATAGTTAAAAATATAATATTTATTTATTAGAAAAAAGTTAGAAAAATATAAATTAAAATCTATTTTGCCTTAGATAAAAAAGCAAAGTTTATATAATTTTTAAAATTAGAGGTCTAATTTGAATAAATCTATCTGAATTTATCTAGAGTTTCTATCCATTATCCGTTTATCCATTTATCTGTTGGATATCCAGATCTGAATTTATTCGGATATCCATTTTACTATTGATATCCGGATAATTATCTGAATATTTGTCAGATTATCTGGATACCAATAGTAAATGGATATCTGGATAAATTCAGATATGGATAAATGGATGACGGATTTATCCGGATTGGATCTCTAAATTTATCTGAATATTTATTTATTATTGATATCTAGATAATCTGACAAATATTTAGATAATTATCCAGATATTAATAGTAAAACGAATATCTAAATAAATTCAGATCTGAATATCTAATAGATAAATGAAAAATAAATAATAGATAGAAACTCTATTTAAAATATTAAAAAAAGAGGTGTGGTGATCTAATGTAGTGGTTAGGTTTTCACCCTTATCAAGTGGCAGGTTAAGAGTTCGAAACCCACCAAAGACAGAAAATTCAAATAATTACCTGTGTTATAGCAACTGTCTTTCATCAATCAGTTGGAATAGAATACCTGTAACTATGGTCGCACCAGCAAGACTGGCAGGACTGGGGCATCTGTGCAACTTTGAGTTATATGGAGAAATGCAAAGCGGTAATAGGTAGTGCAAATACTAGATAAGTTCCTAGATCGTGTAAATCTGTAGAACTAGGAAGACGGAAGCCCATTTGGAAAATCTGAGTAAAGAAGTAGCACAGATCTTTGACGGTACTACTGTAAAAGCTAGACCCAAGAAAAAAGAAAACTGAAGTGGAAAAACCAGATGGGGCATGATTAGTGTGTAGTAAAGCCGGTCCACTAACCAGGCTGCCAGTTAACTGGAAGAAAAGGTCATAGTAGTGCTGATAAACCAAGGACAGGTTATAGTCCTTCTGGACCATCTGAATTGGAAGTTTAGAACCAAAGTGGAGAGGAACCGAAGTACTAAGGATATGCTATAAAGTGGGTACCGAGGTTTGGGTGAACTTTGCAAGGGCATAGTCCTGTTAATAGGACTATAGAGTAGATAGGTTGTTGACAGGGAGGCACCCTGAGCCTTGCTACTGGGTGATATACTCCTTAAAATAAATATAGCCTGGGTTTCTAGCACAGAAAGAGAGACCACATGTCAAGCTAGATGGTACTTGTTATATGGAAACTTAGATACTAACTGCTAGGTGAGTACAGAAAATCAGAGTGTTTAAATAGGCAATTTCCTAGTAGGTTGCAGGTATGGCAACTAGTGTAGAACCTTCGGGCGGACTACTTAAATAGGCAATTAAAAATTGTACGTGTGGCTAGTTGTATACTTATTAATGTACCAAAAATGTCTATAATTCAGACAATATAAAAAACACAATAAAGCATTAAGCAACTGTGACATCGGTTTTTAATAATAAAAAATAAAAAATAAAAAAATAAAAAAAAAAATATTAAAAAATATCTTTTATTATATTAGTACAAAATAATAAAAAAGATAAGAAAATAAAGATAAGAAAGTAGTAATAAAAAAATAAAAATAAAAAAATAAAAAAATAAAAATAAAAAGATAAAGATAAAGAAATAAAATAAGAAAATAGTAATAAAAAAATAAGAATAAAAATATATTAATAAGAAGATAAGGATAAAAAATAATAATAATAAAGTAATAATAAAAAAATAATATTAAAAAGATAATAATAAGAAAATAATAATAATAATATTATACTAATAGTAACTTCTTGTAATATCAATTTAATAAAACTAATCATTTTGATTTTGATTATATTGTAATATAGATAACTGGCCTTGCTAACTATACCACTTGACTTAATATGAAAAGGGTAAAGATATGTATATACAAAAAGTAAAACTTAAATAAAACTTAGATATAACTCAAAAGAAATAAACTCAAAAGAAATAAACTTAAAAATAGCTCAAAATATAGAATATAAAGTATAAGAAATAGAAAGAAAAACCCAGAAAAATACAATAAAGGTAGAGTAAAAACTTAAGAAAAACATTATAAAAATACTATAAAAATATAATAAAAAGAGTATATATACAGTAGTGGATATATAGTCAAAGTATATTATTTATTTAATAGAAAAAAAGTTAGAAAAATACAAGTTAGAACAATACAAGTTAGAACCTGGCAGAATCTATTCTGCTTTAGGCAAAAAGACAGAGTTTTTATATTTTTTAGAATTCTATATAAGAATAAATATTTTGTATTAACGAGTCTGTGTCTATGCTATTAGGTCTATACCAACAGGTCTGTACCAATAGATCTGTGTTAACGAGTCTGTACCAATAGGTCTGTACCAGGAACTCTAAAAAATTTTGAAAAGATTATATTACAATAAATCATAATTTTTAGTAAATATTGCTCTATAACACAATTTTATGACTTTTTTATATGTAGTAGGTTATACAATAAAATTTAATTGGTTAGCTATTTTAGTTCACCAATCAAATTGTATATAAATTTATATAACTTAGTTTATATAAAAAAATTTATAGCGAAACAATTTTTGATCAATTGTCAATTTTAAAGGATAAGCAAATTTTAAATACAAAAATAAAGGATATTTCAATATTTCAAATTTATAGTTATTTGGAAATACTTGTTAGATTTTTTTGTAATATACGAGCAACAAACAAATATAAACAAGATAAACTACTAAACTAACGACACCTGCTTGATGTTTTCATTTAGAGATTTTTTTAAAAAAAAGTAAAGTATTATAAGATATTATATTTAATATTTTTTATATTATATAGTATACAATTATTAACTACCAATTAAAATTTTTTTTTAAAGTAGCTTGTTTTTAATGCCATGCAAAGTTACTGCAACAAGCCATGCAAATGAATTTCAGAAATATTTTTTTGAGGATTATGGACTTTTGATGTACTAATTTTGTGACATGCCTGTTAATTTTAGTACAAAATCAACTATTACAACCCACATAAGCAATACTAGACATGTTGCAAATTAAAAAGCAAAAGAACAACGTAAAATAAGATTAAAACAACAAATATTACATATATCAATAGATGCGATACAAAAAAAAAAAGAATATGATTTTAGATTTGGTTGAGGCATTTGTAAATGCCAACATACTATTAGAAAAGATTAATAATTTACGTCTGTGGCTTAAGAATAATCTTATTAATAGTGTATCTATTCCTTCAGCTGAAACATTAAGACAGAGTTACTTAAAACCAGTATATGAAAAACATATCACAGCTATTAAATCAAAATTTTTTAATAAACCAGTTTCATTTATTGTTAATAAAATGACAGATGATTGTGCCAGAAGTGTAATTAATATATTATTTAGCCATCAAAATGCAACTAAATTAGTTTTAGTAGACTTTTTTAATAATATTATTAATACAGGATTTTTTGACCAATTTCATTTATATCCCATTCAAATTTGTTTTTATCCCAATCAAATTTGTGTTCTAATCAATTTCATATCCAATCAAATTAGTATAAAATGCAAACAAATTCACGTTCTGATCAAATTTGTATCCCAATCAAATTCGTATCTCAACCAAATTCATATCTTAACCAATTTCATATCTCAACCAATTTCGTTTCCCAACCAAATTTGTTTCCCAACCAAATTCATTTTGCAACACTTTCATATCAAATTCACTTTCAAACCAAATTCGTATCTTGACCAAATTCGCTTCCCAACCAAACAGAATTCGTATCCTGACCAAATTCGTATCCCAACCAAATTCGCTTCTCAACCAAATTCGTATTCTGATCAAATTCGCTTCCTAACCAAATTCGTATCCCAACCAAATTCGCTTCTCAATCAATTTCATATCCCAACCAAATTCGCTTCCCAACCAAATTCGTATCCCAATCGAATTCGTATCTTAACCAATTCTGTGTCCCAACCAATTTCGTATCCTAACCTATTTCATGTCCCAACTTATTTCGTGTCCTAACCTATTTCGTATCTCATCCAATTTCGTGTCTCAACCAATTTCGTATCCCGATCAAATTCATGTTCTAATCTATTTCACTTCTCAACCAATTTCATGTCCCAACTGATCTCGTGTCCCAACTTATTTATCATATCTAATTTCATGTCTCAACCTATTCAACAATATTTGCTATCAGCTATTGCGGCACAGTAACATAATATATTGTTAATTATTTTTTTTGAATTTGGTTCATTTGACTGACGAAAAATTCAAAATGACCCAAGTGCACCCACTAAAAAAAACTGAATTGCTCCTGCTAAAAAAAAAATAAAATAAAAAAAAAATAAAATAACAAAACCGGATTTATGATAATAATGAATCACTAGTATTATCGTTAAAAAATTATTACTAAAAACTGAAGCTAAATTAACTATAAAGATAATAATTTTAGCTCTATAATTTTAGATATTTAACCTGTTGATAAATCATTAATAAGGCTTTAAGGCTTTTTATTTATATTTTAATGCTGAAGATATTTATTGACTTGCACGTTGAAAAAGTGCTAACTTAATGGTTTAAAGCTAAATCTAGCTAAATCTAATAAACTAATCAACTAATCTACAATCTAAAGGCCCTAAAGACTTCGATTTGGTAGGCAGAAAGAGGCGCAGAGAGACTTGGTCCGAGTCTCAAAGTTTTGTTGAGTCTTGCTGTGGTGTATTTGGAGGTCAAGATAAGTTAAGTCTTGACTTATGCTTTTATTGATGTTCTCTAGGCTTCAAAGGGGAGTCAAAAGTGGTGCTTCGACCTAAACTTTAGTGTGCTAGGCTTTAGTATTCTACTTTGATCGTTAAGATACTTAATAATTGTCACATAGGTCACGGGATTAAGATTGATTTACGAAATCAATTGTTAACCACTTTAGAGGTAACAATGACGTTTGATCAGAGTTTGATCAATTATATTTTATTATAAAAAGGGTTTTTAGGTTTTTAATCAACTCTCTTTCTCTCTCTAACTTAAGTATAGAAGAAATCACAGAAACAAGAGAACACAAATTTGGCTTGTGTTGATATCATTTTTAGGGAACTTAGAGATGCTTCTACTTGAATTCTGAAGGTTAAGACTTTTAATAGTTTATCAATTATAACTAGATCAGTGTATATTTCTATTCGAATGTTTTTATGAGGAACAAGATAAATATAAAACTACTGGAGCATTTCTACTGTTATTTATTTCGAAGTATTACTTAACTCCATTCCGCCTTATTTCAGAGCAAGAGCGGCTCTGCTTTTATATATTTTTACAGAGTTTAAAATATACAACTTTTTCTTGAATTTATTCGCTAAGGGAATAAATTCACTATCTACTAAGGCGATTAAGGTAGATTAAGCAAATAAATTCGCTAAAGTGAATTTATCCAACTTATTGATTTGATTCAGGAGAAGAAGCCCCCGGTTAACTAAGTTAAGTAATATATATTTGATAATACTAATACTAATAATAAAATATAGATAATAATAAATAAAAAAATAAAAAATTGTAGAGTCAGACGACCAGAGCCCCTTACAATATATATTTAGGGTTTAAAAAGCCAAATACAGTAATTATAAATAAGTAAATAAGCAATTGACATCTTAAATTATTATATTTAATGCTGATAATATTTATTGACTTGATTAATTTAGTAGACTTTATTTTACAATTCTGTGCAGGCAGTAAACTAAACACTCTAATTAGTGATGGACGTATTATAAATCAGGAAATATTCTGAGGTTAAAGTAAAATTTTGACCTATTTCCATAAGATTCTGAAATAAAGTGGTAGCAAAAAAAATTTGCGACTATATCGTTGACCTTTCTGAACCCTCTCTGAAACCTTATATGATTAAATATCGGATATTTAAATTTATATTGATTATCTAGTTGAACCATACGTAAATACTTTTCACCGTTTGAAGGTATAAATTTAAATATCATATTTTATAATCTTCTGATGAGGTTCAGAAAGGTTGGCGATGGCATTATTCGTGAATTTTTTTTGCCACCACTTTGTCATCTTCATGAACCATGCGTAAGATTTTTGAAAAAACTACTAATTGCCTATCATTACAGCATATATAGATTAACTTATATAAATATGGTATAATTATTTAATAATTGCTAACTCTCACAAGTCTTTATAAATATAATTTTCAATTGATTAATAACAAATATGAGCAGACATATAGTTAAGAAGCATATTGATGACTCATGAAACTTTCTTTTTCACTTAAAGTATAACAGTTTTAATTTACTAAATAGTTCATATACTCTTATATAATTAAACTCATTTCGTGATTATCAAACAATGTTATAGAAAATAAAGAGCCAAACTCTTCTTTTTCAATTCTAACATTATCTACTTCATTGAATTGAACCCATTATCATATGTAAGTACTCTAAGTTGAAATGCTTTTGTGCAATCATCATTATACTTATTGCCATCTTTGTTGTTTCATATTATAGACATCTTACTTCATCTATTATAATGTGCAGACTTCCGTATTTAAGTTCCCTTTGTAATCATAATATATTTTTATTTCACTTCTGTCATACAGATTTTAAATAGAATATAAATAACTTTTATGCTTACCGACTAAAATTAATGTGAATGAAAATGCGAATATCAATATATTTATCAGTTTCTGAATTAGAGTAACTGCATTTCACATAGATATTATATTTGTCACTCGATCATATGCTATATATCAAACACTACAATGGAATACACATATGAGATATCACCTCACTGTTCATGTGGTCAACAGCTATTTCCTAGTATCGTTGATCTATCCTACTCTATTCACTTATTTGATATCCGAGCTGTTCAGTCAGGCTATCAAAGTACTTATCTTCAATATCTGGGTTGTCCACCTGGGCTATCGACATACCCATAACCACCAAACACCCCACACACAACTCCTTTGCCTGGTGGCGTGTGGGTGGGCACTAATGACAAAGCTAGACTTTTGTCGAGCTAGCAGCAAAGACAAAAGAGGAAGAACCACTTCTCGATCCAAAAACTCTTAAATAGTCATTTACCATGACCTCATGTTTACCATCACTTATTCTATCAAACTCGACATTCATCACCCAGTGCATCACTCCAATTATCTCATCATATCTTATTACTTACTAATCAGTCAAATTTATCACCACTTACCCTCGCTCATTAGACGTCATGGGTCTGGGTCATGATTTCGTGACAAATGAATGCTCCATGACTTCGTTCATGTCATCCCAGTAGTATAGTACAATATTAGGGTATTACATTATTCAATATTGTGTTATTGTAGAATTGTGACATTATGACATTATGGCGGTATTGATAATTAATTCTGCTATTGGTACGTAAAATGCTTTAATTGCCAATTATAGCCCTGGGGTAAACATGAGATCATAAATAATTTATTATTAAGTTTTCTTTATATTTACAATTTAAGGGTGTAAAATGCTTCTAAGTAAGTATTCATTATTAGTAGGTAGAACTTATTATGAATTGCTTAGTGATTATGTATTAAGTAATTGCATGAAATCTTATAAGTAATCCATAAAATATTCGTATTTTATACTTGAAAGTACTTCAAGTTCCTGTTAATATTATTAAGGATTATAATTATAGAGCATTCTGACTTATACGATTTTAAGGATTTTTTATTGTTTATAATGAAAAATTACATACTCTAACTAATTATAGTCAATAATTATCACAGACAGTAACGGTTACTACTATTATCTTGTTTAAAGATATATAGTTTACTATTTATTTCACTTAGAATAAAACGTATACAAAATAACTTTAGTATGTAAGCATCTTTCTCTTTACTTCATTTTTACTTTTACTAGTCAAAAGACTAACTTGTTCTCTTTATTTACTTTTGTTATTTATATTAATTTCATTACATGCTTTGTATAATACTTATACTTTTCTTAATATAATTAATCTAAAATTTTACTAATAATAATAAATTGTCATTGTTACGATAATCAATAATATATCTGATCTTAATATATGGGCAGAAATTTTTAGTAGAGTGTTGTGACTATATAAAATTAAGGTGATTATACTCATAAAAACTGATAAGTAATGGATCAATTTTGATAATAATGGATCATTTTGGATCATTCAGATTATTTTTATCTAATCTGTTTGGTATACTACTCATAAAAACTGATAAGTAACTGATAAGTAACTCATAAGCAGTTTTACAATCACTGACAAATAATCACTTTCAATATTAGTAATCACACTGTATCATGTATATTATTGGCTCAAATCTTATTTAATCTCATCATTTAATTTAAATAATCACAAACTAATCACTAAATTGAAGATTTCCACCTATATGATAATGCCGCCCAACATTGTAATTCCCATCATAATTCTGAATTACCATGTGATATATTTGTTATGTTCGATCTAGAGTGTCCAGGTACTATGGTGCATAATTCTACTCACGTTAAAGATACTTTTTACATTGTAATTTGATTTAGAAAGTGATTAAATCATGGATCTCTGACGGGAACAATATAAAAAATTATTTTTAGCATGAGCAGAATTATGCACTGCAGTACCTGGACATTCTAATTCGATCCTTGTCATTTAGCTTCTTATCATTGATTATCATTTCTTTTACTAAGTATGGGGTTTATGAGAAACTATATAATCATGTATGTATTATAATCTTAAAATAATATTAATTTATGTAACTACATGCACTGTATATACAAAAATACATAATAATTATATACCTTAAAATAATATTAATTAATGTGATTATAATATATGAGTGTCGCTAAAAGAAAACCAGAAAATTTAAATATAAATCATATTTAAATTGTCAGGTTTTCTTTTAATGACACTCATATTTTACTAACTACAAATTTGACCATGAGAAATCAAAGATATCCATACAGAAAAACTACTCCTGATATGCGAGAAAAAATTGTTGATATGGTTAACAACCAATATATTCCAATAGTTAAAGTTTCTCACCTTTTTCATCTTGCACCCTCAACAATTCAAAGTATTGTAAAAAGATTCGATGAGGATGATAGGATAGTTCTTAAGCCATGAGGTGGCGATAAGAGATCACTTTTAAATGATATGCATAGATTCTTTTTAAAAGAACTAATGGAAATAAACCCAACCATTACTATTAACGAATTATATTAGAATCTTATTGAAAGGTTTTCTGATCTAGAAGTATATATATATATACATATAATATTATAAAACGGGATGAAATCTAGACTGTATACTAGTACATTAACTAGCTTACAGGCCAGAGTTTACTTGTTATAAATCAATATATTTACTGTAATTAATGTACACATTTACATACCATATAAAATATACAGGTAAGCAGATCAACAATCGCACGCAATATTGTCAAACTAGGATTTACATTAAAGAAGCTAGTACCTGTTGTTGTGAAGCGGAACCAAGATACTACTATTGTTTAATGGAAAGAGTATGTTGAGAGAATATCCCGAGAGAATATTAATATATTCAATGATGTAATATACATAGACGAATCTGGTTTCAACCTGCATCTCTGTCATTCTCAGGGGCATGTGCCCTGGGGAAAACTGGCCGTTAAAGAAGTAGCTACTCAACGTGGAAAAAATATTACAATAATTGCTGCAATGAGTGGAAATGGAATTATTAAAACCTCATACCGCTTGGGTTCAACCACTAGTAGTATTTTTAAAAAATTTATAAAAAAGTTAATAAGTTCTCTTCCCCCCAAATAATGGCAAAATTTTTATAATAGATAATGCGAGTATCTACAAACAAGTTAAACAAATAATTAAAAAAACACCACATGAAGTCATATTTTTGCCAACATATTTACCTTTTTTAAATCCGATAGAAATGGTTTTTTCTAAGGTGAAAAATTTGGTAGCAAAACATCCTCTCGATAGCCAAGAAAAAATTCTAGAAAGAATTGAAGAAGCGTTCAACAAGGTAACTAAACAAGATTGTAGATGTTGGATTAGTCACTCTCTATCATATTTTGGTAGTTGTTTAAACGAAGAAAGGATAGGAATGTAGTTGAATTTGAGTTGGTTAAAAAAAAAAAAAAAAATCAAATTTTAATATTTTTGTAAAATTTTTTATATATGTAATATAATATGTATATATATAATAAAATATCACATACCATATTAATATTAAGTAATTAATAGGAGTCAGATGTAATATATATAAGGCATATAAAAAATAAAAAAAAACTTAATTTTTTTGCTCTAAGTAAACAAACCATGACTATATACCAATGGCTAACAGGAGAAAACATACCTGATCCAAACTTAATCCCACATCTGGTATGCAGTATATAAAAAAATTATTCTAATCTCTCACAGTTTGGATCGGATACGTTTCTTCCTGCTATTATGACTTGGTCACATATATAATTGTTCTCTGTAGTAATAAGGTTGATGTGAAGCACCTGGAAAATGTGTACCAGGTTGGGATCGAATAATTGCCCGAAAGCTAGATTGGAATGGTATGACAGCCAGAACTAGAGTTATCTTTTTAAAAATAAAATTTTTATATTCATTAGTTTATCATTATTTAAATTATAATAAGTTAAAAAATGTTTTTTCGTTGCCTTTTTTTTTCCTGCAAAAAAAAAAAGTGATACAAAGTTTGTTAAAAGAAATAATCAAATTAGGACTTAGCTAAACAAATCATTGAATATATCAAATCTACCTATTACCTTGTCAAATACTTTCATTGCTTATAAGTCAAAAATTGAAACTACTATATAATGGCCAAATGTAAAAATAACAATGCTCGGCCATCTAAAAAAAGATATTTTTTTAATTATATGGCAACAAAGATCTAACAAGAATATGATTTCTATTGAAAGTTTTTTAACTTATCATTATGATAGAAACGTTGAGAATAATAGCCAACTTCTTGTAGCATTGAATATTTCAAGAAGGATACAAAAATCGATAAACAAGTTAGCATCTTATCTATTTTACAAATTTCATCACAGTCAACAAATATTCAGAAAGAAAGTATTGATCAGTTTAAAATAAAGGGCATAAAGAATGATTAACCATGAAAAGAAAGTCGTAACTGACCAAGACCACCCTATACAACAAACCCAGCTCACCCTCATGGAAAAAGTAACCCAAGTGCCTACCCAATCACAACCTAAAACGAATAATCGAACCAGATGCAGAAAAGCACCTTTGATGGTCGATTTGCTGCCACTATACAATATAGCCAATAATCTACTAAACCAAAGAGCCAATGCTACATATGGCCAATTACTGCAAGTACCTAAGCAAAGGCAAAACTTATCGCAAGCTTTGCAGTGCCTAATAATCACTACAGCAGAAGCTACCAATTTCGTAGGCAATTAGTCTAACCAAAGGACCACCGCAGCAAAGTGCTACGTCCGAATCCAAAACAACCCAATACTAGC